CCCCCACCCTGCCTCTCTTCCTCAAACTAGCACATCATCTCTCTCTCTCTCTTTTTTTGAAGATTTTATTTATTTGTCAGAGAGCGAGAGAGAGCGAGCGAGCTCAAGCAGGGGGAGATGCAGGCAGAGGGAGAAGCAGGTTCCCTGCCAAGCAGGGAGGCCGATGCGGGACTCGATCCCAGGACTCTGGGATCATGACCCAAGCTGAAGGCAGACACTTAACTGACTGAGCCATCCAGGTGCCCCCATCTCTTTTTCATTTTATAGGTTTTTACTACTGGTCACTAAAAGAGAAATAAATGTATGCATCCTTTGACCCAGAAATTTTACTTACAGACATGTATCCTGGGGATCTACTTCTACATGTGCACAAAGACATACAAAGATATTCAGTGCAGTATTGTTTATAATACTAGAAACCACCTAAATGTCTATTAATAGAAGGCTAGTAAGTACAGAATATCCTACAATAGAATAATCAGCCATTAAAAACATAAGACAAAGTCAGCTCACGTACTCTCTCTCTAATGTTATGTAACAATTTTAAGGACAAATTTTCATATAAGCAAGGTGAAAACAGCTTAAGTGATACGCTAGGATGTACTGAATAAAATACAAATGCTTGCAAATGCATAGGATATCTGGAAGAATACACAAGAAACTACTAATGGCGGTCACTTCTGGATAAGGAAACAGGGAAATTAAGGGGTGGAGAAGGAAGGTTATTTTTCATGGCATACACTTTTGTACCTTTTGAAAGATATAACCAAATACATGTTTTGCCTGTTAAGTTTTTAATTTCTAAAAAGCAGTAGCTGAGGCTGTTCTTTGTGTTCTCTGTCCTTAATATACCCTCGTGACTCTCTTTAGATGATGTCAACAAGGTAATTTTCTCCTCATGAGGCATTCCCTTTACCCACTGTGCCTTCCTTCCCATTGATTTACACACAACCGCTTAATACACAGTTAGAATATCCAGAACAGAATATCCTAGATTAACCTAAACCCCCGGACTATAGTGAAATGAATTTATATCTCAGAGAAACTAGCAGGCTGACATACCCAAGTTCAAACTTGACCACATGTAATACAGAAAAAAATCTACTAAGGTCATCTCTGACTCGTTTCACCCACAAATCCTTTATGCACAACTAACCTTCCAATACAGCTTTTCAGTGCACCATTTTCTTTTCTTTTTTTAAGATTTTATTTATTTATTTGATAGACAGCGAGCGAGCACAAGCAGGGGGAGTGGCAGGCAGAGGCAGAGGGAGAAGCAGGCTCCCCGCAGAGCAGGGGGGGGCCCGACATGGGACTCGATCCCAGGACCTTGGGATTATGACCTGAGCCGAAGGCAAACACTTAACCAACTGAACCACCCAGGCGCCCTCAGTGCACCATTTTCATTAAGGGAATATAATCCTCCTCCTGTGATCCCACTCCACTTCTCCAAACTCCCAAAAGCCTATTCCACAGTCACTTTTGAAGACTGTGGAACATCTTCCAAAGTAGCTGGCTTACAATAAATATGATATTGCCAGCAGACAGGTATGGAAATGGGCAAAAAATAGGAATACTCAAGCAATTTAACTAAAGTAGGAATAGCAAAATATCTTTAAAACTGTCTTCTGTACTTTGAACAACGTAACAGACATTTCCTCAACAAATATTTGCTGAGCACCTATTATGTATGAGGCTATTATAAATTGCCAAACATCTGCAATGAGGAAAGAGTAGCTTATAGACAGTCTAACTGGGGATAATGAGGGAGATAAGGATTCAGGCCAAGTTCACAATACTGTCACCAAAAGCTTTTTCGCCAGCCCAAATATTTTTATTTAATATTCTTTGCAGGTACTTTGTAGTACAGAAGTACTACAATGCAACTTGATTTTCTGCTTAGGAACCAAGTGTTAGTGTGTAGTTCCCAGATTTCTGAGTTTCAGGGACCAGTAGAATGACCACAAAAAGGACTGCTGATTTTTTTCTGAAAACATTAAAAAACAAAACTACCTAGTTCATTGTCTTCACTTCATATGCAAATATTTTAACAACAAAGAACATCTCTCAGAATTTAGGAATTAGACAGATTTAGTTGTAAAAAAAAACAGAACATTTTTCCTATTTTTTCCTCTCCTTTTACTGAATATGAATGAAAAATTCATAAGAGGCCAATCAATATATGAGAATCAAAGAAAGGTAAAATGAAAAGATAATGGACTTTAGAGTCTGAGAGCCCTGGTTTCAATTTTTATGAATGCAGGTAAGTCACTTAACCACTCTGAGCCTCAGTCTCCTCCGGGGTATTATCTCAGAACTTTGTAGATGGATTAAGCATGATTTCATATTAAGCACTTGGCCTTAAATGTGGCACCTAGAAGGTGCTCAACAAACATAAGCAACTTTCTTTGTTAAAATAAATATTGGGACTTCCACTTCTGGTTACAGCAGAGTAACTGGTACTCAACCAGCCTTCTACTCTACACAGCCATAAAACTAGATGAATACCTAAGACTCTCTCACCAAGGGGGTAAATTCCCACCTGTGGCACAGTGAGCTAGAATCTAAGCAGTGCAGGAAGGTCCCACTGAGCTGAGACTAGATCAAATTTGGGGGCAGGTAAAAGAGCTAGAAGCCTTGGGTCAGGGCACCAGAGCGGGAATGTATGAGGACGGGAGGGGTCAGGAAAGGACAGAAGTCTATGTGGAGGTCACCTACGGATGAGTTCTTGGTGGAGGGTTGGGCTGCACACACAGAGGGTGACACTCTTCAGAGAATGGCTGCTATGGAATCAAGAGTGCCACAAAGATACCTCAAGTCCAGCAAACAGCGCTAGAGGACTCTGGACTTCTTGTCAAGGCAGACAACCAGCTGATTCAACACAAAGGCTGTGACCATGTGTCTTAAAGACTTCTTTTAGATCTGCCCTAACGAGAGGTGGGGGAAAGCTACCATGACCCAGCATAGGGTGTGCAGCCCAAATGGGATAAGGCAGTGGCAGCTGCAGCGAAGAATGGTTGTATATAAGTAAATCATCAAATAAATTTTTCCAGGATAATGAGAATCAGATTCACCAGAGAAGGAAGTTACAAATATGCAAAGGGAGAAAACAAGAGAGAAGCCTATGGCATTGGACTGAAACCGGAGAGATTACTGTAAATGCATGATTTTCAATACTTCTTTCAATATGTATCTGTAGAAATATATAAATTACAGATCTACTGAGAGGGCCTGGGATTAGTGACATACCAATAGCAACAAGCACACCTAGTATCTTATTTCTTAACACTAATGTCTACTGAAAAGGAACCAGGCTCCTTAAAGAAATGACTGATTTCAGGTCTGGGGCAGGAGGAAGTCCTAGATGTGCCCTAAACATCTTGTGTTAGAACAAGAAAGTGTTCAAAGAATGATGGGGACATGAAAAGAACAAAGAAGACAGCTTGAAGGGCCTCAACTGGTCAAATCTAGAACTATTTGAACGCAAGAATAATGGCCTTCCATGAATACATACTGAAATAAAAATATGAATAAAATGAATGTTGGTAAGAAACAGGATGTTTAATAGTTTAGAGTACCTCCCCACAAAATACTTACTGTTTACAAGGGGTAAAAGAGTAAATTCACAGTAGAGAAGTCTTGTAGACATCCCCTTAATCAAGTGATCAAAATTAATATCACCAGTTATCAAACAAATCAAAATCACATGCTACTTGATAGTGTAAAATGAGAATAAGAACATGTGATTTATGTGATATTCCTGTGAAAGATGCAACCTGACTCCAATCATAAAGTGGGTCAGACAAACCCAAATGGACATTTAAAAAAATAACTGGCTTAGGGGTGCCTGGGTGGCTCAGTCCTTAAGCACTTGCCTTTGGCTCAGGTCAAGATCCCAGGGTCCCGGGACTGAGCCCCGCATCGGGCTCCCTGCTCGGCGGGAAGCCTGCTTCTCCCTCTCCCACTCCCCCTGCTTGTGTTCCCTCTCTCGCTGTGTCTCTCTCTGTCAAATAAATAAATAAAATCTTTATTAAAAAAAAAAGATATGACATTCAAATACATGTGTTGGAAATGGACCTTTTTGCTACAAAAGACATTATTGGAACAAGTGGATCTCAGTTTCCTTGTCTGTACACTGTGACATTAAACTAAATCTATTCCTTCAAACATCAATAGAGAACTCAAAGAAGTTTTTATAAAGACAAACAAAAAACTAAATCTAACAGTATTTCAAAATATAAGAAGATCTCCACTGGTATTCTAACCATGCTTATGAAGAAAGACTACCATAGACACCTATAGGCCTTAACCAAAACTGAACTTACTAAATTTAAGTCTTATAGGAAAAAGTGTTAAGGAAATGTTACATAATGCCTCTATAAATAGTACATCCACGCAATGGAATATTATCTAGCTATATCAGCTGATATGGACAGAAGTCAAGATTTTGTTAGAGAAAGGAAAATTTAGCCCAGAATATGTAACACATACTCCCTTTTGTATGTATGCTTGCATGTACGTATAAGATAGCCATATATATGGGCTTGAATATGCATAAAAAAATTCTGGAAGGATACATAAGAAACTGTTCACAATGACTAGTTCTGTGAAATAGGAATAGATGGTTTTAAAGGAGACAAGGCACCTTCCTCTCCATCTTCTGTCCTTGTATAATCAATTCTCAACATTAAAAAAAAATCACTAACTAGAAAACTATCAAGAAAAGCAAAGAAGTAATTATTATAAGAGTCAGGGCAGCGGTTAAATACAGGGAAGGAAGAAAGCATTCTGTGGTTTTCTGGAATGCTGATGATGTTCTAGTTCTTGACCTGGAAAATAGTTACATGAATATTTGTTTCATGATTATTTAATAAACCATATATATTTGTTGTGTAGACTTTCTTAATATATATGTATTTCATAATTTTAAAACAGAAACATAAAGTTTCAGAAAAAAAAGTAAAAATGAGCCTTTTAGAAAGAAAATTACAATATCTTACCTGCAAGAGTATGTAGGCTCTCCTACTTTAAAAACACGACCACAAAGATGAGACGGTTTGTTTGCTTGTTCAAGTTTTGGAAATCCAAATGCAGGATCTTCACCACAAAGGTACCATTCCATTGGTCCCAACAAAACATGCTGTGCCAGCATGTCCTCCTTCTGTGGAAAAGGGTTAGGACCCCTGCAGTAGATTTGGGGTACATAGTGGGCTAAATGCTGGTACACTTCTCTAGTGAGGTCAGTTGCTTGCAGCCATTTCTTTAAAAAAAAAAAAAGAAAAAGAAAAATTAGTTTTAAATAATGCCAAACTGCTAATTTGGATAAACCTACTATATATTCAATGATAAGAGAGTCATATAAATTATTTTGTTCACATCACTCATAACTGTATGTTTTCTTTCCAAAAAGGGTAAAATTCATTCAGAACTTTATTAAAATGCCAAGTATTGGGGCGCGTGGGTGGCTCAGTTGTTAAGCATCTGCCTTTGGCTCAGGTCATGATCCCAGGGTCCTGGGATTGAGCCCTGCATCGGGCTCCCTGCTCCGTGGGAAGCCTGCTTCTCCCTCTCCCACTCCCCCTGGCTTGTATTCCTGCTCTCGCTCTCTCTCTCTGTCAAATAAATAAATAAAATCTTAAATAAAATAAAATAAAATGCCAAGTATTTCAGAATTCTACTTTACTTAAAGTGAAATGATCCCTCTCCTCAAAATTACTCTTGAAGTAACCTTCTGTAGGCAGTTATAAGAAAATGACCACAACAAATCATCATATAAGACACGAGCCATTACGCCCATCTGACTTCCTTTCTAACGCTTTGCTCAAATGATATACTGATTGTGATTTGGAGTCTCATGTCAGTTTGCTGATAGGAAGAGCATGCAGTGAACATGAACAGCCTTACACTATACCTACTTACACTTCTCATTGATTAATAAATGATATACCAGTCTCTTATGAATAGAATCCACAAGAGACTTTGTTATTATCAATTATGCCTTCTTCCCCTGATCAACCTCTCTATAAATCCTTTCCCCTTTGCTCTCCCTGCTCAAAAACAAAAGCCACTTTTCTGTCCCAAACTTTTATGTCCAACTACCTGTGATAATTAATCTCCTTTCAACTGAATTAGGGCTGAGGTTAATGAGATGACTTTTGGAAAGCCCCGAGGGATGGAGACCTGGTTGCCAAGGGAACAAACCATGTGATAAGAAGGTTGGAAATAACAACCTCCACCCCCAACCTCAGGGAGGGGAGAGGGGGTGGCAGTTAAGCTAATCATTAACAGCCAATGATTTATTCAATTATGCTTACATAATGAAGCTTCCATAAAAATTTCTATGTTGGGGTTCAAAGAGCTTCTGGAATGGTGAACACAGAAGTGCTGGTGCACCAAGATACAGCATGGAAGCTCTGAACCCCTTCCCACATACCTTGCTCTATGCATCTTTTCCACCTGCTGTTCCTGAGTTGTATCATTTTACCATAAACCAGTAATCTAGTAAATAAACCATTTCCCTGAGTTCTGTGAGCCATCCTAGCAAATTACTGAACCCAAAGAGGGGGTCATGGGAACCCTTGATTTGTAGCCAAGTCAGACAGAAGTTCTAGGTAACCTGAGGACCCACTGCTTGTGATTGGCATCTTAAGTAGTGAGGGGGTCAGTCTCGTGGGACTGAGCCCTTAATCTGTGGGATCTGATGCTAACTCCAGGTGTATGGTGTCAGAATTGAACTGAATTGTAGGACACCCACTTGGTGTCTGTAGGGAATTAGAGAATTGCTTGGTATGGGGAAAAAACTCACACATTCGGTGGCCACAAGTATTGGTAAGTGTAGAGAGAAACAAGAAAGTTTCTCCTGATTCAAACACCAACTCAAAAGGTCTAAAACTGAACTTATGATCTCCACTACCCCTCCTCAAAAACCTATTTTCTCCACTTCCTTTCCCTATTTTAGATACAAGCATCTACCTAAGTATCCACACCAGAAAAACCTGAAAATCTTCCTTCTTCTTCAACCCAACATCCAATTGATCATGTCTTGTCTATCAGGCTTCCTACTAATCTGTTGACTCTATTTTTTTTGTCTCCATCTCCACAGGCACCATCCCCACTACTCTGGTCCAAAGCCCCCACTCCCATCTTTCACGAAGATTAGTGCAAAAATGTCATCCCCGCTGGTCTTGCCCTTGCAAGGGCACACACTGAAAAACTTCACCCCTGAAGAGAAACTATCTTCTTCAAATGTTACCAATTTATTTGTTTGCTTTATGCAAGGAGAAAGAGACTAAATTACTCTTAAAACAACAGCACTTCTTGGGAGATAATCCCACAGGATTAAGGATTATCTCTCTTTAAAGAAGTGATTTGCAATCAAAATTACACACACACACTAAGTTCAGCATTATAAAAGGATGGGTTGGGGCGCCTGGGTGGCTCAGTCGTTAAGCGTCTGCCTTCGGCTCAGGTCATGATCCCAGGGTCCTGGGATCGAGCCCCGCATCGGGCTCCCTGCTCAGCAGGAAGCCTGCTTCTCCCTCTCCCACTCCACCACTTTTGCAGCATTTTAATCCAGGGAGAATAAAAGGTGATGCTTTCTAAAAGAAATTATGTGTTTTGTGGCTCCAACAGCACTGATAGGTCAAATTTGTTCATAGATTTTTTTTTTTTTTTAAGTAGATTTCATGCCCAACATGGTGCTTGAACTCATGACCTGGAGATTAAGAGTCGCATGCTCTACCAAAGGAGCCAGTAAGGCACCCCCCTGTTCATAGATTCCTTAAACAAAAAATTCAGAAACTAGTTATCAGCTTCTGGTTAAGAAAAAAAAATCAGCAACCTTATATGAAATATTTTATATAATATTTACTATGTTATATATTTATACTATATTACTGTAACATTTATTATATATTGTTATATATAATATAGCATATTACCGTATATAATATTTGCTGGTAATATATTACATATTATTAGTAAAATTTCATCCTAAATACTGTTTGTAATATATTATTATAAGTTATTAAGAAGATATAAATATCTGGTTTAAGAAAAGCAAGCATATGCTTCAAATTTAAAACCACCTAACAGATTTGGGATCTACAATGGGCATTTTAAACTTCATTAAATTTAAACAATATATAAAGTGAAGTACCTTTACATGAGAATTCTATACCAGAAATATTGAATTAGTGACTGGCAACAGTACAGATTAGAAAAAATTGTGAAGAGAAATTGAGCAGGAGGAAAAATTTTTTTGGCCACCTTTCACAATAATGACTCACATATTTCTTAAAAGAATAAAATCAGTAACTTTTCCTATTCTCACTAACATAAGCTAACTGTAACTGTTTTGTCAACAGGAAAAACTATTGAGATTTCTGATTTGGTTGCATGTTAATTTGTCTTTATTTCAGACACTTGTGGCTGTCACACCAATGTGCACAACAAAGTAATAAGCACTATCTTATCAGAAGTCCTCCATAAGGGAAGTAAAGAAAACTGTCAACTCATTCCACTAAAGTAAACATGTTATGACAATGTTTCCAGGAGCTTTCCTTTTTTGAATGCTAAATTTAAGCCTTGGGATAGAGAGCAGGTATGATAAACATAAAAATGAAAGAATCCCTAGAGGTTAGCCTTTTCTTACAGTATCTAATTATTATTTTTTACCCCATTAAAATTGTATCCTTTAACCACATTTGATTTTGTTATCAAACAAGAATCACCAACATGTAAGTTAATTATAAACAATAATCACGGGCGCCTGGGTGGCTCAGTTGGTTAAGCCACTGCCTTCGGCTCAGGTCATGATCCTGGAGTCCCTGGATGGAGTCCCACATCGGGCTCCCTGCTTGGCGGAGAGTCTGCTTCTCCCTCTGACCCTAACCCCTCTCATATGCTCTCTCTCATTCTCTCTCTCAAATAAATAAATAAAATCTTTTAAAAATAAATAAATAAATAAATAAACAATAATCACTAGCGCTGAAATGAAGTTTTTAAGCCTATATTAAGAAAAATTTTAAACAAATCATATTAAGAGTTCCAGAAATGAAGTAAAAGCATTCACAAATCAAAATAATATATAAACTCAATAATAAAAGAAAAAAATCTAATTTAAAAATAAGCTAAAGACCTGAATTGACACTTCTAAAGATGTACAGTCAATAAGCTCATGAAAAGATGTTCAGCATCAACAGTCATAAGGGAAATACAAATCAAAACTACAATGCGATACCACTTCACAGTCAATAGAATGACTATAATCAAAAAGACAATAGTAATATTGGCAAGGATGTGCAGAAATTTTCTGGAACCCTCACATACTGCTGGTGAAAGTGTAAAATGATGCAGTCACTCTGAAAAGCAGTTTAGTGGTTCCCCAAGACATTAAGCATAAAATTACCATAGAACCCAGCAATTCCATGCCTGGGTATATGCCCAAGAGAAATTAAAATGCATGTCCTCACAAAAATGGACACAAATGTTCACAGCAGCATGATTCATAATATCCAAAAAGTGGAAACAACCCAAATGTCCATCAACTGATGAATGGACAAATAAAATACATTATATATAATGAAATATCATTTGGCAATAAAAAGGAATGAGGTATTGATATATACTACAAGGTTGAACCTTGAAAACATTTGCTAAGTGAAAGAAACATGTAAAAAAGACAACATATTGTTATGATTCCAGCTATATGAAATTTCCAGAATAAGCAAATCGATGGAGGCAGAAAATAGGTAAGTAGTTCAGTTTGGGAGTTTAGAGGAAAACAGGGAGTGACTACTGATAGGTATAGGATTTCTTTTTTGGGGTGATGAAAATGTTCTAAAGTTGTGTTGACAGTTGCACAACTGTGAATATACTAAAAACCCACTGAATTGAATTTATATATGTGAATTATGTATAAAACTGTCAAAACTTAAAAGCAAAAAATATCCAATACAGACATAAAACTTCTATAATGAATGCCCAAGAGAAATTAAAATGCATGTCCTCACAAATTTTTTAATTTGTGATAAATAAAAACAATATATGTACTTCTTAAATCACAATCATTCACTGGAACACATTATAATAAAATCTGTGGAGCAAAAAATGTAGATAGACTAGAAAAGTGCTGGGAAAGTCATACTGCTGTGCAATCAATTCCACCAAGAAAAGGAGAAAACTGAGAAGAGAGGGCCTCTTTAAGATAACTGATAAGCTTACAATTATCAAAGAGAGTGCTCAAATGCTTTATTTGTGAGGCATGCTTGTTAGGATACATAAGATCACAAAAAGTCCTTCCTCTTCATAATAGAAATTTAAAAAGCAGTGTGTAAACCAAGTGTGAGAAAAGTGACATTAACCTTATTAAGTAATTTTAAATGGATGTGATCCCACAAATTACCAGTAACAAACGTCTAAAGGCTGCAATAACTGCTTTGTTTACTCTAAAATTTACTTTTAACCTAACAAAACTTTATTAATTCATTTTAATTTGTGATAAAGAGATGTGCTGTAGCCTAAGCTGAAAGAACAGTTTTAAGTGTTACGTGGTTTTAACTAAATACAAACAATAAACCCCTCACAAAGTAAGGCCAGGTTATATAGCTGGAAGAACCTTGTATTTTATTTATTTTTTTAAAGATTTTATTTATTTATTTGTTTGACAGAGACACAGCGAGATAGGGAACACAAGCAGGGGGAGTGGGGAGGGAGAAGCACGCTTCCCGCGGAGCAGGGAGCCCAGTGTAGGGCTTGATCCCAGGACCCTGGGATCATGACCTGAGCCAAAGGCTGATGCTTAATGACCCAGCTACCCAGGTGTCCCAGAACCTTGTATTTTAATATTAGTCTGCATCTTCTTTAAGGACTTTTGTTGGTCTTTAGACTAAATATTTTTTCATCTTATTGTTCAGAAAGCCATTTAAAAGTAAACAGAACAAAAGTAAAATGTAGCTCAGGTTGTGATCTTCACCAACTCAAATTAAGTCCAAATTAATAAATTTTTTTTGCTTTTCCCTTAACTTCTCCCACTGCATCTGCCTGAGAATTTCACTGCACAAGTATTGCACTGGTCTCTAACACCGTTTATAACTGGTTTCCACAGGAACTTCAACAAGTTGGAGAAACTCCAATCACTTAATAGCTTGCACTTTCAGCATTGGAAAAATAAAGCACACAGCCTGGGCCAACATGCACAGAATTTGGTGGGAGTAAGAACAACAACACTTTGAGGCAGACAACAGATTAAAATATCAATATGGATATCGACAGAGTGACAGATTGGGAATAGCTGTCATTCTGACCATTTTACTGTTTACTTGTAACACTTTTTCTTTTTTCAAATCTCTTTGATAAATGAAAGGCAGATGCGGGATGAAAATTCCCAGGTTGTTGCGATATTAAGTAGAAAGTAAATGAAAACAGATCTACACTAAACAAGTTGGTTTAAAAAAAAAAAAATCCAAGAGTCATCATTCAACAACGTAGGAAACTTTCCATCTCTACTCCTGTCCATTGCTTCCACTCTGACTTTAGGGTCCTCATCAATTCACACAAAGAACTCCTCACTGACCAACAAACCCAAAGGGCCCCACTAAAATTTTGTTCATAACATTAAGATTGTTGACAAGTGTTCAAAGACCACTCCCTCCCCATAAACTAAGCTTTTTAAATTGGAGACCTTAGAGGTGAGGCCTAGGTTGTTTTGGTCCATTCATAATCATTCTGGACAATTTGCTCTGTTGGTGTTCCCGGTCCTTCTTGAGCAAAGATGCCATCAAGTTTATTAAAGAAATCATTTTATAACTCTGCTACTTACACGAGCATATTCATAATATACTTTCATTACAATACTGGGTTTGAATGGTTTAAGTTTGGGGTTTAACTGCTTCCACTATGCTGTGACCAAACCTCACTTTATTGGTTTCTATTTGTTGAAAGCTGCTCTCTCAAAGTTATGTAACAATTCTTTTCCACCCAATTATCCCCAACTCCTAGATAAATTATTTTTTTAATCTCCCAGCCTCCACTACTGCTTTCTCACATTCAGTAAACATGCCCAGACACCACTTTCCGCACATTCATCAACGCTGTCGACTGACCAAACCGGTGCAAAAATGAACTGAACGGGGGATAAAGGGAAAACAGTGTCGTTTGCATCCTCTGGTGCCTAGGGCAGTCCCAGAACAAAGTAGGAACCCGGTTCGGGTAGCATGTTTCGGTGGAGGAGGGAATGTTCCCCTAATCTGCGGAAAAGGAATTAGGCAAAAAATGTAGGGCGATTATACCCCCAAACCAGGAAGTGTCTTCCTTTCCCCTCTTCAAGGGGCTGGCAAAAAGGGCTGGGGACCTAATGTGAGTGTGGGGGGAAAAGAGGAATAATGGAAGAGCTGTCGGTTCTCCTAGGCAGAAAGGGAAGGCAAAGGTGGCTGGCGCACAGAACGGCTCGGCCGGCTATTAGAAGACAGGAAGGAGAGGAGCAGGCTCGGTGGCCTCCCCGGCCCGTTACCCACATACAAGGCGAGGCCTGAGAGCCCGGCGAGGTCGCTGCCCCAAGTCTGGGCCGGGCTGCTCCAAGATTTCCAGGAGTCAGTTCCTCCCCCGGGGAGCGGCCTGCGAGGGCCGAACGTCCCCGCCCGGGTCCCGGCACTCACCCCCGCGGTCTCCTCAGCCGAACATTCCAGCAAACTCCGGTCGATGGCCTGCACCTCGGGCTCCAGCTCCGACGCCATCTTCTCTCCTTCTCCCCAGCGCTGACGCCGCTACCGCCGCCCCGAGGGCCGCGGCCTCGCCACAGCCCCAACTGCCGAGACTGCCACCCGTGTCCCAGGCAGTCAGTCCGGAGTCGTCCAGGCGGCCGCGGGTGGGGAAGAAGGAGAGTAGGGTGAGGTAAGCCGGACAGGAGGGAAAGCGGCCTCCTGCGCTCCCTCCCGGGCTCGGCGCCCAAGAGTCAGGTCACTGCCTCGTCCCTGCCCCGGAGAAGGACACAGAGAACCCAGGACCTGGCACTCTCGCTAGCTTCTACCGCGTCCGGCACCGGGAAACGGGCAATAACACCCAAAAGAGGAAGCAGAGTAGCCTGGGAACTGTAGTCCTCCGCCCCACGGCCGGAAAGCAGGTGGAGCCCTTATGGGGGCGGGGGGCGAAGGCATTATGGGAGTTGTAGTCCATCTTCTAACCACAGCATGGGCAAATGGCAGATAAGCGGGCGGGGCTTTCCTGTACAACTAGAATCCTGGGAAGAAACTAGCGAAAAGAAGCGCTCACCTGGGAAGAAGCAGAAGAGCAAGACATTGTGGGAACTGTAGTTTTATTCCCCTCAACTCCATTTGTTCCTGTTTGTAGCCATAGATCCTAGAATGGTGCCCGGCGCGTGGTAGACACTAAAGTACTTTTCAAAGCCTGGCATAGGTAGACAGTAAGATACTCGTGGAAAGAATGAAAGAATTACATTCTATTCCTATAGTTCTATGGCCCTGTCGTTCATCATGCCTTCGTCTTTTAGACCGTAACTGAGGTGGACATTACCCAGATATTTTTAAGGGTTTAAAACATACTTAAATTCTGTTAAAGAAAACATTTCCAGGTAATTTAGTTATGGCCTTTTATCAAAATTTATTATAAATGTTGCTGCAAAGGAGAAGTAGCCTACCAAGCCAAGTCTAAAAAGATTTACTCTTGATAGGGACATTTTATAAAAATAGATTAGGTACAAAAGAAAATTACGTTTGGTTAGAGTTAATTAGGGTCTTGACTGACAGCTGGGTGAGTGGGTTTCTTAGAACAAATCTTCAGTTCCTTTAGAGTTTATCAGAAAATTGCTTACACATTTTATCAAACATGCTAATTTATTCTGAGAAAATTGTGAATTAGGCAAAACAAACAAACAAACAAACAAAAAAAACTGACCCAATCCAGGGAAATATTTTTGTTGTTATTGTTTTAACAATAATATTAACCAAGTGTTTTGTTTTTGCTTTTTTTATTAGGAAATAAAAATTACCCATAATCTCACAGTTCAAATAAGTCTTGCTATCACTTTTGAAAATAAAAGTAAGATTAGAAATTCAAACTTAAGGGGCGCCTGAGTGGCTCAGTCGGTTATGCGTCTGCCCCCGGCTCAGGTCATGATCCCAGAGTCCTGGGATCAAGCCCCACATCAGGCTCCCTGCTCCGCGGGAAGCCTGCTTCTCCCTCTCCCACTCCCTCAGCTTGTGTTCCCTCTCTCGCTGTGTCTCTGTCAAATAAATAAATAAAATCTTAAAAAAAAAAAAGAAATTCAAACTTAATAGGAATATATTTTTTAAAGATTTTATTTATTTATTTGAGAGAGAGCACATGAGCAGGGGGTGTGCAGAAGGAGAAGCAGGCTCTGTGCTAAGCAGGGAGCTGGACTTGGGGCTCCATCCCAGGACCCAGAGATCATGACCTGAGACAAGGCGATGCTTAACTGATTGAGCCACCTAGGTACCCCGTTGGGAATATTTTATTTCTCTATTTATTTTTAAAGTAAGCTCTATGCCCAACATGGGGCTTGAACTCACAACCCAGAGATTAAGAATCACATGCTCCACCGACTGGGCAGCCAGGTGCCCATGTAGGAATATTTAAAAGGAAAAATGAAAAGTACTCCACTTACCCCCAGTTCCTCCTCCCCAGAGAAAATAATTTTTAATACTTTCTTATGATTCTGCCTAGAAAAAAGAGCATGCATATATCTGCATAGGTATCTAGAATGAGATATCTTGAAATGTTTTCCTATGTGTTACTTTCTTTTTTGTCCAATTTCCTTGCACTGTTACTCTACCTAGTCAGAGTCAAGCTGGAGGAAAACTGGGATTGTTACAACCTGGAAGCACAGATAATGCCTCTTTAAGAGTCCTAACATAGAATTAAAGCCATTAAAATACATTATAAAGAAAATTTCTGCTGTTAACATTATTTCCCTTTTTCTACTACTTTTAGATTGAGTTTAGTGTTTTTTCTAAATTCTTGAATTGGATGTTTGCTATTAATATTTCTCTTTTTTTCAATATATACATTTAAGGCAGTGGTCTCAAACTGAAGCATGCATCAGAATCACCTGGAGGTCTTGGGGCACCTGGGTGGCTCAGTCGTTAAGCGTCTGCCTTCAGCTGTAGTCATAATCCCAGCATCCTGGGATCAAGCCCCACAGTGGGCTCCCCGCTCAGTGGGGAGCCTGCTTCTCCCTCGCTGGCTCCCTCTGCTTGTGTTCCCTCTCTGTCAAATAAATAAATAAAATCACCTTGGAGCTCTTGATAAAATACAGATTTCTAGATCCCACCTTCAAAATTTCTAATTCAATAGGTTTTAGGTGGAGATAGAAAATGGCATTTCTATCAAGTTCCTGTGTCATCCTGCTGGCCTGGGGACCAACTTTAGAATCATAGATTTGTTAAGGCAATACATTTCCATTATCTACTGCTTTGACTGCATTCCACAAATTTTGGTATGTAGTGATTTCATTATCATTCATTGCTAAATATTTTCTAATTTTATTATGATTTCTTCTTTGACCCATATAGTATAGCTTAAGTTTTTCAAATGTGTGTGATATTTTTATCGTTTGTTACTGCTTTCTCATTGTATCATATTGTAGGCAGAGAACATGGTCTATACAATATACATTCTTCAGTATAAAATGACATTCCCTTTGCAGATTGGAGTATATGGTCAACAAATTCTTTAAAACCATATTTCTTCAAGTATTACCTTCAAATATTTCTTCAAATATTACCATTCTATTCTCTCCTTCTGGAATTTCTGTTTGACTTCCTTTTCTTTTCTCTATTAATCTTTTTCATTCCTCCATACTTTAACTGTCTGTGCTGCATTCTGGATATATCTTCTAGTGTGCAAACTCTCTCTTCAGCTGTGTCTAATTTGATATTGAACAATCTACTAAGTTTTTATTTTCAGTGATTTCCTTTGTCATTCCTAGAAATTATATTTAATTCATTTATTCCTGTTCTTTCATTTTTAAAAAAGATTTTATTTATGTATTTGACAGAGAGAGACACAGCGAGAGAGGGGACACAAGAAGGGGGAATGGGAGAGAGAGAAGCAGGCTTCCTGCAGAGCAGGGAGCCCAATGTGCGGCTCGATCCCAGGACCCTGGGATCATGACCTGAGCTGCAGGCATATGCTTAATGACTGAGCCACCCAGGCACCCCCTGTTCTTCTTTCATAATGTCTTGTTACTTATGTATGGTTCTAAATTTTTTATATCTTTAATACTTTTAAATATGCATATTCAGTAGTGTTCATTAGATTGGTATACTTATGAAGATCTTGGGAATCTAATCTTACTTTGTGTGTGTGCATGTTAATCATTTAAATGATTGTTTCCTGTCCACTTTGTAATTATGAATTTTGAGATCATATTCATTTAACATTAGCTGTGAGAAACTTGAGAGGCCTCTGTTGAGAGCATGTACCTTCAAAGTGGTTTTCCATTTGCCTCTGCAAAGCCAGGCATTCTAGCAGCATCATAAACTCAGGACCAGGCACTCTGGGAGTATCATATACGTAGGACCAATTTTTATGTCAGTTTCTTGGCTTGGGGTTCCCTAATAATATAAATTCAATTGTGTGGCAGTGTCCCTGTTTGTAAAATTTTAAAGAATATTTTTTCCTACTCAGAGTCAAGGTTAAAATCTTCCTTGTCATTTCCCTCTGCAGGTCAGTGCATGTTTTTCTAGTCTATCTTTTCACTGATGTTACTTTCCTTTGAAAGCCCTGGCTTTATATAGGGATCACAGTTTCAATTTGTGTTTCTTGGATCCAAGGTCTTTTCTTATGTTCCCATGTGGGCATTTAAAACATGCAGTTAAACAGGACATATTGAATACCTCATGACAGTGAAGGGTGGGGGGTGGGGAAGAGACTAAGGACTGACAACATCAAAATTTTGGAAGGTGGGGAGCAAATAGATGAGAAATAACTGACTTAGCAATTGTGTAAGACTGATGAATCACAGACCTGTACCTCTGAAACAAATAATACATTATATGTTAAAAAAAAAAAAAAAGAAGATAGTAGGAAGGGAAAAATGAAGGGGGGGAAATCAGAGGGGGAGATGAACCATGAGAGACTATGGACTCTGAGAAACAAACTGAGGGTTCTAGAGGGGAGGGGGGTGGGAGGATGGGCTAGCCCGGTGATGGGTATTAAGGAGGGCACATACTGAATGAAGCACTGGTGTTATATGCAAACAATGAATCATGGAACACTACATCAAAAACTAATGATGTAATGTATGGTGATTAACATAATAAAATAAAATAAAAAACAAATAACTGACTTAGCAGTTAGAGAATACTGAAACCTAAGTTAACAGAAAATCCAGAATCAAGTGAATTCATATGTGGAACTCTGAAAGACTTAGAAATTTGAAGCATCATGTTACCCTGAGAGTGGGTGAAGTTGATGATAAAAGCAAGAACATTGTAAGTCTGTATAGCAAGAAGTTAGATCACCCCATCTTCCACCCTGGAAGAAGACTGGAGGCTCTTCCTCTAGAGAGGCTGCACCTGAAGTCTTTGGAATGTGAGACACCAGGCACAGCTAAGGACAGGAACACTGTACTAAATACTAGAGCATTCATTCAAAGTCTATCCACTGAACAGGTTCACTTCAGTGCATTTCCCTCCACTTGGCTCTGAGAACATCAATGGCTGGCTTGTAACTACCAGGCAGGAGTTTGAGAGAGTCTTCTGCAGAGAGACTGACCAGCCCAAAAGAAAGAAAATCTATCAGAGTAGTGGAACCCTATATTAGACTGCTTGAGCTGCCATAACAAAATACCACCAACTGGGTGGCTTAACTAACGGAAATTTATTTTCTCATAGTTCTGGACTTTCAGAACATCAGGAACAAAGAGAGAATCCTACAAACTTCCAGAAAGAGAAAACACAAAGGCAACAGAATCAGAATGCACCAATCTTTAAAATATTCAGAGTAAAAACTCTGAATAACAGGAGTTCTAGAAAGAACAACAAAAATGGATGAGTATAAATTATCAAGGAAGATTTTCAAGAAACGTGCA